AAATATGACGGATACAGTTCAAAAGGCCATGTGCATGTGCTTGGACTTTATTCCATGTGAGCAGGGTTAAGTCCTTTGGACATGTTGATTTTGTTGCTTTATTCATTTATTCTTTCATTGAGCTACTCTGATTCTATTTAAGTATTTAAATTTTCTTTCCGATATTTCTATTGAGTCATAAGTAGTTTTTGAGAGGGACATAATTAGGTTTTTAAAAACATTTCAGAGATGTGAAAATCGGGCTTTCAAAACCTGTTTTCATAAGAGTTCTTTTTTTCGGTCAAAATACTTGAACACATAATTCGGTCAGATAACTTAAAATATTAATTAGATGACTTTAAACACTTTTTCCCTAACAAACCTGCCCTATGATATGGTTAACATTGCAGAGAACAGGGGTTTCTTTAGTTTCTTCCGCTTAGGGGACAATAAAGAAACAAAAAATGGATCTGTTTCCCCTTTGCCACAGTTGGAACCCCTATTTCTTCCCAAGTTCCTTCCTACTCCTTATCTTTGGCAGTGTCTCCCATGGCACCTATATTCAATCAATTTTTAACTTGATCACCCCCTGTCACCCCTGATATTGCAAAATGAGCTAGTCCAACCTTTGAATTGGAAGAGTTCAAATGTGTCTTCAGGGGTGAATGAGTCAAGCTGTTGCAAGCACATTAAACCAGGGGTAAAAAAAAACGGTTTAGTACAACCATTCCAGAAAACACAAAATAGAATGAGAAGTAATTTTCACTAACAAACCCTGTGGAAAGGGATTACATGGGAATCTGGTGAAGCTCGTCTGTGTCCAAATCCCCCCATGTTCCATTGATTGAGTCTGATTTTTATTACCAAATGATTTTATGGTGTCTGCTGTAGCTCACTGTCGGCAATAAATTAGACAAGTTATCTCGGCCTCTGAAGCTTAAAAGCTGACGTGTGTTTATAAAACAAGACTTTGATATGCTAGATGAAACAAATTCAATACGAAAACCTCTACAGCTAGAACAAATTATTCATTAAAAATTCAGTCTTGGTTCTTCTGTACTTTTTTAAACTGTTTCAATATTGATGTTTATTATACCTTCAACAATTTTTTTTATATGTTGTTGTGTAATACATCAAAGGTTTTAAGTTTCAGATGTATGAATCAATAATGATTGTCTGGACCTGGTTATGTCAAAATTCTTGTTAGCTTAATGATAAGTTAGAACAAATATTCAAATAAAAAAAAAATGGAAAATATATGTGCAAACATATGAGTATTATTAAAGAAAATCATATTTAATCTTAAGACATGATGATATTGTATTTGACATGAATAATGATAAAATATCAGTGATTTGAATTTTACCTGAAGGCTTTGTGAATCTTATAATGCTTGGGTAATTAGGTATACAGGAAATAACACATCAGGTAGACTTATAGCTAAAATACCTACATAATCTTAGGTCAGACTGACCCAGGATCCTTATAATATATATGTTTTAACCGATTTTCTTAGCAGCTCTGCTCATGTGGTATATACAGACTACTATACTGTCTTATTCCTCCTCCTCCTCCTCCTCCTCCTCCTCCTCCTCC